TGAAAAATTGTTACTATTGAAAACTGACAATGAGAATTAAAGAGAAAGTGTGAAATTTATGTGATATTTGTAATTGTATGGAACGTTTTTGGTTTAAATAAAATGGAGCATGTCACATGAACAAGAACGTTCAGAGTTCTCAAAAATTGTGACTGCAGTTTCGAATAATAATGGCGTCTTTTCGTTTTGTAATTTAAAAAACAATTAGCGGTACGAATTTTTTTCGTATATTTTGACGACTATTTCTGGAACATTTTATCGCGAACGAGTCATTATTTTTCAGGTAACAAAGAACTGACGACCTATCTTCACAAGAAGACCAAGAAGATCAAGAAAATGAAGTGCGTTAAGTTTTCGTGTCCTAATTCGAATTGCCGGAGCGCTTTTGGCCTGAAACACAACTTGTATAGACATCTTCGCTACGAATGCGGCCAGAAACCCAGGTTCAAGTGTCCCTACTGCGACTACGTATGCAAGTGCAAGGGCAGCGTAACGAGGCACATTCCAACCAAGCATAAGAATCACTATGTATATGTCATTGACATTCAACGGAATGTTGTTTGCTAGGATACAGAGAAAGGTGTTATTTTTTAAGTTTACAAGAAATCGCGTTTGGTAATGAAAAGTTAAGGTTTACGTTTTTAAAATCTTAAATTACAATCTTAGTATACTTGCCATATTTTATGTTCAACTTTCTATTATATTTGCAGTATTGGAAACAAATAAATGTTGAAATTGTAATTCTTTCATAATTACAAGAATTGCAAATGCTATCCAGCTATAAAATTAATTTTTTCATTAAATTTTATAGCTGTTCTGACCTTTGCTAGAATGAAAGGAAATCTTTATGGATAATAGCGTATATTCTTGTACACCTTGCAATATATGTATATTAGAAATTTCTGTCTTCTAAAAATACACTTATATATTTAATAAATACAGATTCAACATTTTTGTTATAGACATTAAGTAATTAAAAATTGTTACTATTGAAAAATGACAACAATAATTATAGAAAAAGTATGAACGTTGTGTGATATTTTTAACTGTATGGAGCGTTTTCAGTTTAAATAAAATGGAGCACCACATATGAACAAGGACGTTCAGAGCTTTTAAAAATTGCAATTGCAGTTTTGAAAGTAAAAAAGAAAATTCGTATTGAAAAGTGGATCTTGTTTTAATTAATTATTTGCTATTTTCCGTCCAAATGATAGCGTTTTTTTCGTTCCGAGGTTTAAAAAATGATTAGCAGGACGAACTTTGCTCCTTCACACGTGTTTTGACGAGAATCTGAAGCATTTTATTGCAAACGAATCATTATTTTCAGATAGCAAAAAACCCACGACTTATCTTCGCAAGAGGAGCAGCTCTAGCTTCGCTAAGAACACCAGGAAAAAGAAGAGCGTCAAGGACACGTTTTCGTGTCCTAATCCGAATTGCCGAATAGTCTTTGAGTGGAAAAAGAACCTGCAGAGCCACCTTCGCTACGAATGCGGCCAGAAGCCCAGGTTCAAGTGTCCTTACTGCGACTACATATGCAAGTGCAAGGCCAGCATAAGGAGGCACATTCAAGCCAAGCATAAGAACTGCTATGTCTATGTCATCGATATTGAACGGAATGTTGTTTGTTAGAATGCAAAGAAATGTGTTATTTCTTAAGTTAACAAGAGATCGTTTTTGGTTGAATGAATTATGAAATATAACAATGAAGTTAAAGTATGTTCTTTTTGCAACCTTCTATTAAAATCTTAATGTATTTACCATATTTTATGTTCAAATTTTTCTTGTATCCACTGTATTTAAGGCAAATGATTGTTATTACTGTAATTTTTTTATTTTATAACTGCAAAAGTTGCAAATGCTATCCAGCTGTAAAATTGATTTTTTTCTTTAAAACATACAGTCATTTTAACCTTTGTTAAAATGCAAGGAAGTCTTTATGGACAATAAAGTATTCTTATACACATTAGAATGTATATATGCCTTATATATATTAGAAGTTGCTATCTTTTGAAAATACACCTATATATTTAAAAAATACAGAATCAACACCTTTGTTTTAGACATTAAGAAGTTAAGAATTATTACTATTGAAGACTGACAACGAGAAATAAAGAAAAAGCGTGAACTTTGTGTGATATTTGTTATTGTATAGAACGTTTAGTCGATATAAAATGCAGCATTTTACACGAACTAGAACGTTTAGAACACCCAAAAATTGCAATTGCAGTTTCGAGAAGGAAAAAGAAAATCCGCATAGATAAGCGGATCTCGTTTGAATTAATTATTTTCGATTTTTCGCACACAATGACGCGTTTTTCCGAAATTGAAAAACGACTAGCGGCACAAACTCCGCCTTTTCACATACGTCTCGACGAGTATCTCTGAAGCATTTTATTGCAAACGAATCATTATTTTCAGATAGCAAAAAACCAACGACCTATCTTCGCAAGAGGACTAAGAACACCAGGAAAAAGAAGTGCGTCAAGTTTTCGTGTCCTAATCCAAATTGCCAGATAGTCTTTGGGTGGAAAGAGAGTCTGCAGAGACATCTTCGCTACGAATGCGGCCAGAAGCCCAGGTTTAAGTGTCCTTACTGCGACTTTATATGCAAGTTGAATGCCAACGTAAAGAGACACATTCGGCACAAGCATAAGAATCGCTATGTTTATGTCATCGATATTGAGCGGAATGTTGTTTGTTAGGATGCAAAGAAATGTGTTATTTCTTAAGTTACCAAGAGATCGCGTTTTTGGTTGAATAAATCATGAAATATAACAATGAAGTTAAAGTATGTTCTTTTTGCAACCTTCTATTAAAATCTTAATGTATTTACCATATTTTATGTTCAAATTTCTCTTGGTTTCTACTGTATTTAAGGCAAATGATAGCTATTACCGTAATTTTTTTATTTTATAATTGTAAAAGTTGCGAATGCTATTCAGCTATAAAATTGATTTTCCTCTCTAAAATGTATAGTTATTCTGATCTTTGCAAAGAAATCTTTATGGACAACAGCGTATATTTTTGTACACATTGGAATATATATTAGAAGTTCCTATCTTTTGAAAATACACTTGTATATTATAAAAAATTAAATTCAATACTTTTGTTATAGACATCAAATAATTAAAAATTGTCACTATTGAAAAATTTCAAAAAGAATTTAAAAAAAAGTGTGAACTTCGTGTGACATATGTATAACTGTATGGAACGTTTTTTGTTTAAATAAAATGGAGCACCCCACAAGAACGTTTCGAGTCCTTAAAAATTGCAATTGCAATTTTGAAAGTGAAAAAGACAATTCGCATTGAAAAGCGAACCTTGTTTTAATTAATTGTTTCTTATTTTCTGTCCAAATAAGTGCGTTTTTTTCATTCCAATGTTTAAAAAATGATTAGCGGTACGAAATTTGCTCCTTCACACGTGTTTTGACGAGAATCTGAAGCATTTTTATTGCGAACGAATTATTATTTTCAGATAGCAAAAAATCCACGACCTATCTTCACAAGAGGATCTGTCTGACTAAGAACACCAGAAAAAAGAGGCGCGTCAAGTTTCCGTGTCCTAATTCGAATTGCCGGAGCGTCTTCGCGTGGAGATGTGGCCTGCAGAGCCACCTTCGCTACGAATGCGGCCAGGAGCCTAGGTTCAAGTGTCCCTACTGCGACTACATATGCAAGCGCAAGGAAGACATAAGAAAGCACATTCGGCACAAGCATAACAAACGTTATGTCTATGTCATCGATACTGAGCGGAATGTTGTTTGTTAGGATGCAAAGAAATGTGTTATTTCTTAAGTTAACAAGAGATTGTTTGTGGTTGAATGAATTATGAAATAAAACAATGAAGTTAAAGCATGTTCTTTTTGCAACCTTATATTAAAGTCTTAATGTACTAGCCATATTTTATGTTCAAATTTCTCTTGTATCCACTGTATTTAAGGCAAATGATAGCTATTACCGTAATTTGTTTATTTTATTACTGCAAAAGTTGTAAATGCTATCCAGCTATAAAATTGATTTTCCTATCTAAAAATTATAGCTATTCTGACCTTTGCAAAGAAATCTTTATGGACAATAAAGTATTCTTGTACACATTGAAATGTACCTATATATGCCCTTGTATATATTAGAAGTTGCTATCTCTTGAAAATACACCTATATATTTAAAAAATACAGTTTTAACACTTTTGTTTTAAATTTAGATATTAAGTAGATAGAATTATTACTATTGAAGACTGACAACGAGAAACAAAGAAAAAGCGTGAATTTTGTGTGATATTTGTTATTGTATAGAACGTTTAGTTTATATAAAATGGAGCATTTTACACGAACTAGAACATTTAGAACACCCAAAAATTGCAATTGCAGTTTCGAAAAGGAAGAAGAAAATCCGCATGGATACGGGATCTCATTTGAATTAATTATTTTCGATTTTTCGCACACATAATGACGCGTTTTTCCGAAATTGAAAAACGACTAGCGGCACAAACTCTGCCTTTTCACATACGTCTCGACGAGTATCTCTGAAGCATTTTATTGCAAACGAATCATTGTTTTCAGATAGCAAAAAATCAACGACCTATCTTCGCAAGAGGAATAAGAACACCAGGAAAAAGAAGGGCGTTAAGTTTTCGTGTCCTAATCAAAATTGCCAAATGATCTGTGGGTGGAAAGAGAGTCTGCAGAGACATCTTCGCTACCAATGCGGCCAGAAGCCTAATTTCAAGTGTCCCTACTGCGACTACATATGCAAGTACAAGGCCGGCATAAGGAGGCACATTCCGCGCAAGCATAAGAATTGCTATGTTTATGTCATCGATATTGAGCGGAATGTTGTTTGTTAGGATGCAAAGACATGTGTTAAATATAACAATGAAGTTAAAGTATGTTCTTTTTGCAA